TCTATCTTGAAACTTTTGGGGTTATTCATCAAAGTTCTTGTTCCTACACTCCACAACAAAATGGGGTGGTGGAAAGGAAGAACAGACATGTGGTTGAAGTTGCYAGATCCCTCYTGTTTGCWTCCCATGTTCCTATAAAATTTTGGGGAGATGTTGTTCTTACTGCTACTTTTTTGATCAACCGTATGCCCTCCCGGGTCCTTGACTTTAAAACCCCCTTTAGCCTTCTCTTCCCGGATGTGGATATATTTTCTCTTCCTCTCCGTGTTTTTGGGTGCACTTGCTATGTGCATATTCACAGTCATCAATGGCACAAGTTTGAACCTAAGGCTCATAAATGTGTTTTTCTGGGATATGCTTCCGCACGGAAGGGATATTGCTGCTTTGATCCAGTTCGTGGCACCCGTTTTTTATCTCGGGATGTCACCTTTGCTGAGTTGACTCCTTTCTTTAGCATTCCTCCTGAGGGGGAGAAATCTGAAGAGCCCTTTGCTATGTCTCCAGCTATTCCTCTTCCCATTCCTCTTGAGTCCTATCATGAGGTGTCTATTTCTTCCACTGGACCTACCTCCAATATTCCTATTCCTCCTCCTCCTCCACCTCATTCTCCTATAATTCCTCCTCCTCTTGTTCTCCAAAGGTGGTACTAAAGGCAGAGATTCAGACATGGGCAGGTTGTTTCCACTCCCACAGAAGAGCCTCTTGCTCCTCCCATCATTTTTGAGGTAACAGGTCAGCCTTCTTCTAACCCATCTACAGCTTTCCCAGACCTTGACCTTCCTATTGCTCTCCGCAAGCGAAAGCGGAAGTGTACATCCCATTGTATCTCCAAACACCCATCTTACAACCTTCTCTCTCCTTCCTACTACTCTTTTCTTGCATCTGTTTCTTCCCATGTGATACCCARGTCYRTAYCGGAAGCCTTATCTCAACCTGAATGGAGGGATGCTATGATGGCTGAACTGGATGCTTTGCATAAGAACCATACCTGGGATATTGTTGACTTGCCTGAAGGGAAGGAA